AGACATTATTAATGAACTTACCAATCTAAACCCTTACAAATCTTTTGGACCTGACGGGTTGCACCCTTTAATACTTAAGATATATGCCAAAAGCTTCGCAATTCCGCTTACAAAAATCTTCTATGAATCTTTAAATTCTGGAATAGTACCAACTCTCTGGAAATTAGCAAATATTAGTCCGATCTATATAAAAAGGGAGACAAACTACTTCCTGAAAACTATCGCCCTATTTCACTTACCTCTGCTGTGTGCAAAATATTTGAAAAAGTTGTAAAGAATAAAATCTTGAAGCACATCAATGATAACAATCTACTTTCTACAAATCAACATAGCTTCCTTCACCATAAGTCTTGTGTAATCAATCTAATAGAGGCTTTTGATATTATTTCGTCTTCCCTAGCATCGCACCAGTTTATAGACGTAATCTACCTCGACTTTGTTAAAGCTTTTGATTCCGTACCTCACGCCAGACTCATGTTAAAGTTAAAATCATTCGGAATAAACGGCAAACTACTACAATGGATTAATTCCTTCGTAGTAGGCAGAAGACAACGCGTTACAATTAACAATACTACTTCTGACTGGGTTGATGTTCTTAGTGGTGTTCCTAAAGGTTCTGTTCTCGGCCCGCTCCTCTTTATTCTTTTTACAAACGATCTTGCCCAACTTACAGAAACTTCTGAAGTATTTGCAGACGATACTAAACTTTTTTCTAAAACTTCATCGCAGACTAATTTCGTTGATCTGCAGGACCGTCTACGCTTTGTATACGAGTGGTCAAACACTTGGTTATTTAAATTAAACATTTCAAAATGCTGTGTTATCAATTATAGTAAAACTAATCCTATGTATAACTACTTTTTGCAAAATAACCAAGGTATAAATGAAAGCCTAAGAAGCTCTACTAAAGAGCGCGATTTAGGAGTCATTTTTACATCTAATCTCAAGTGGAGTACACATATTCAATCAGTTGTCTCCAAATATTTACAAATTCTTGGTATGCTAAAAAGGACATTCACCATTGTTGATAAAAAATGGCTCTTAAATTATATAAAGTGTTTATAAGACCACACCTTGAATATGCAGTGTCTGTTTGGGCCCCGTATTTAAAAACTGACGTAGCTTTGGTTGAATCTGTTCAACGTAAATCAACAAAACGGGCTTTAAACTTGAGAAACCTTCAATACTATAAAAGACTTAAAAGACTAAACTTACCATCACTCGAGTTTCGGCGATGAGATCTAATACAAATTTTTAAACTAATACATTGATTTGATATAATAAATAATATATATCAACCAAAATTCATTAACTCCTTGTCACGTGGTCACCATCTTAAAATAAGACGTGAATATGTTCCAAACTGTCTTCCAAGACAAAACCAATTATATAATAGATCGCCAAAATTCTGGAATGAACTACCCGAACAAGTAACTTTATACTCCACTGTACTTTCTTTTAAAATTAGAATAGATAACTGGTTGAGGATAAAACTCGGAACGAATATTTATAAAACTGGTTGTTTATAGTAGGGTGTTTTCCCTGCTCGCTGTATGTATATATGGTATGTATATTTTACGACTACAACTATAATAATAATAGTAATAACAATAATAATAATAATAATAATAATAATAATAATAGCAATAATAATAGTTATAATAATAACAATAATAATATTTTGTAAAAACTGTAATAATCTTATGATGGTATGAAAAAAAATTTATTTTAAATTACGATACTAAACCCAAAACGGGAACTTTGTCATTTTCATTATTTTATTATATCATTTTATTTTTAACTTATTAACTTATTTTTAATTGTTATAATTGTTTTATTACTTTTATTCTTAACTACTTGCAATTGTTTTTTTTTTTTTTTTTTTTAATGATATTTTGGATTTTTTGAAGCGTTTTTAATGTGGCTCGGTGATAAGGCTAATTTATGCTATCTTCTTGCTCTAGCCAATTATTTTATTTTGTTATATTATTGAGGATTGTCGATCTTTTTTAACGTCAAAATAAATAAAAAAATAAAGATTTCAGCCAGGGTATTTAACTGACCATGCCATTATTAACATTCAACTGACCATCCCATTATTAATATTGTTTACGATATATTTAAAGCATTTGTCGAAAGTAAGTTTACCCTCAGAGTTTTTATAGATCTAAGCAAAGTCTTTGGTACAATAGACCATAACATTCTTATAAAAAAACTCGAAAGTTATAATATTAAAGCGCATATTTTGGAATGGCTTAAAAGTTATCTAAACTATAGAAAACAATACATATGACATGAAGAATGAAAAACTGATTATATTACTATAACTTGCGGTGTTCCCAAGGCTCAATTCTGGGACCACTGTTATATCTTATTTATATAAACGATTTCCATAAGTTTTCAAACATTTTAAACTCAATTTTATTTGCAGATGACACGATTTTTTTTTTTCGATGGAGATATCAACCTTTTAAAAAAAATAGCAAACAAGGAATTTTTAAATCTAGCGGAATGGTTTAAGGCAAACAAATTGTCCTTAAATTTAAATAAAAATAAGTATTATTTAAATTTAAGGACATACTTAGTATATTTAGCATAGTAGAGAAAAACACGCTGTCAGAATTATTTCAAGTGCAGGTTGATTCGCACATTTTTTTTTCATATATATATTTGCCGTGAGTTAAAATAACAAAAAGGAATTACAATTAAATAAAAACCTGGCAGGAGCAAAAAGAAGACAAATTGTCGTATTGCCGAGTCCTCGTTACATTGTCCCCCGTTACATTGGTGTTACATTGGTGTTACATTGGTGTTTTGTAAACATTTTAAATATTTACATGCGAAATAATAAAATACAAAAAAAAACACAAAAAAACTTTCTAAAAACTTTCAAAATGAAAAATAGAAATTTTTAATAACAATATTTCAACAAAATAATTGAAGTAATAAAATGAAACAAAAGATAGATAACCAAGAAGTTGTGTTTTATTATAAATAATGAAATATTACTAAATATTTATTACTAATTATTTAATATCAACAAAAGCACAACAAAAACAACCAAAATTCAAAAGTTAACAAAAAATGTAGTAAAAAAGTTAAAGAAATGTAGTAAAGATTTAAAATAATTTTTTGATTCAAATAATTAAATTATATTCAAAATATGTATTGGAAAACTAATATATCTAAGTCCATGTTTAGTAAATGCTGTTTTGAATCAGCCTTAAAACTTTTGATAGTGCAGTTTAAGACGAACTCTAGTTTATCATTAAAAATGCAAGACAATTTTTCCAAACAAAAGGTCCACGATATTAAATATCAATAAGACCTTATTCAAAAAAATCTAAAAAATATATTAATAAAGTTACACAAAACTAAGTTTAAAAACTATAATACACAAAACATTCAAGTTTGTGTTAAAAACCTTTTATGATTCAAATAGTTTTATTCCAACTATAAACAAACCAACAAGAGTTACAAAATTAGTTCTACCTCATTAGATCAAATTATAACTACCCAAAATTTTTCAACCCTCTCAAAATGAGGGGGGTGTAAATTATGCATTGTCGTAGCTTTTGTAGTTTACAGTATTTTTCCAAGAAATTTAAAATCTGTCGATAAATTTAAATTTAATTTAATATAATAAAGTTAAAAATTTTACTATATTAGTTTTATCACGTTTGGTCAGGGGGGGAAAAAATTTTAAGGCTTTTTTATCTGAAACATCAAAAAATCCTGCGTAAGGCTCTATTATGCAAAGGCGTAAGACGTAAGGCGTAAGGCGTAAGGCTCTATTATGCAAAGTTATTGTCAAAAGTCAAAAAAAGGAAACCTACGTATAACTAACATATGAAGCACTAGATAGCAAAAGTTATCAAGTCTATATATTTAGATTTGAACATATAAGTGTTTTTAGCAAAATAAAGTGAAGAAGTCATTGTTGACTAGGGTTTGCAATCCCGGAGGTCTTTCTCAATCTCGGGATTCTGGGATTGATTCCGGAATTGAAAAAACAGATATACCATCTATATAGTATTAAGTAAAATAAAAAAAGTACACTCTTAAACGAAAATATATTTTATAAATGATGCTGTTTGCATTACATCGTTTCATGCACAGAGGAAAAATATGTTAATTAATGTTTAGAAATTTCATAAAAAATGAGGAAATATATTATGTTTCATGTGCTTTGAAATGTGACTTTAGAAAGCACAACGCGTTTAATGTTTCATCGCCCAACCTGTTACGAATTTTGTTATTAAACAATCCGGCAGAAGAAAATGCCCGCTCAGCCTTGACACTTGTTGGTTTCACCGTTATTAGAAATTAATAAATTCTTTCTAAATAATCACCACGTGTACCACCATTTTCAAATAATGTCATTTCTTTTTGAATTTTTGATAAAAGTGCTTTATGCCTAATTGGTTGCATCGTTGATTGCGCTTCTTTAATTACACAATTAAGCTTCTCTTCAATACTTAAAGTGTTATTTTCAGTTTCAGTTTCTTCAATAAAATCCAGCATATCAGAATCAACTAATGCTCTTACTAAAGCAGGATTGGAAGCGTTTAATCTTTCCAGCAATTCTACCAACAGTTTTTGATATTTATATGAAGAAGGTACTGTAATTATTTTTTCATCGACTTTAGCGGAGCTTTGACAGTTATGCAGGTATTGTAGAAGTCCACTCATATCAGTTCGGCCTTTATGTATACGAGCCATTAAAGCTGTACGCATTTCCTTGCTTGTGTTATTGTCAGCATCTTTTAATTTTGTAAGCATAAAATTAATAGCAATGTCAGCTGTAAATAGGTTACAACCTCGGCGACAAAGTGCTTCAACCGTTGCTTTAATAGGAACTAAAGTTGTAATAATATCTGATAATATTGTCAAGTCATCATGCGACAGAGCTATATAATTATCTTGCACTGTGTAAATATCAATTAATGATTTTTGTATCCTATTTTTTAATTTATAAAATCGTTTAAGCATTAACAGAAAGCTGCTTTACCTTGTTTTGCAATCCATGATTAAAGACAGTTGTTTTACAAATTCAGCCTTAATATATTTTTGTAAGATGTCGTTCTTCGTAGGTGATCGTCTAAATATTATTATCAACTTGCGTACTTTTTTAATGACTGGTCCATAATGAACTTCATTCAATTCAATTTCAGATCTTAAAGTTTCATGATTGTAGCCCAGTAAATCTTCGTCTATATCCTCATTCTCGGATGACAAAATGTCAAAAAACTCATTTTCAAATTTTGACTGATTTGAATCGAATTCTCATTTTTTATAAAGAACATCAATTAAAGCAAGTTGTATACCGTGAGCAAAACATAATTGTTGATTTGTAGCTAGCAACTTTCGAACCTTTTTCATAACACTAGCTTCGTCAGTCATTATAGCCGCAATGTCACTGTGTAGATCAAGGCAATGGTCTTTAAGTTTTTTTTTCTAATAGTTCAATACACTTTTTTATTCGCACTAAACCCAAACTCCAAAACTGAGACTTTTTTCCATGAACGTTAATATTCATAAAGCGACGGTTTCGAAGTCCATTTTTCTAAATACAAAGAAAATTTCTAATTCTGTATTCTTAAGCGCTTTAATTTGCTGAACTAAGCGTAATCTTTCTTTTTTGCTGTACTCTTCTAAATGATTACGAATTGTGTTTACTGACGTTAGTAGATTTCCGAATCCCATAGCAGTTAAAACAGAACGTAAATCTATTGAAGTACAAATCACATTTAATGAAAATCCGTCAGACGCCTTTAGACAAGCAAGCGTAACGTGAAGTGTTTTATCTTCCTTCTCAAAAATTGAAAACTATTCTGTTAGTGGTTTAGATTTTTTTTTTGGTGGTTTATCTGATTTGTTTTCTCCGGTAATATTAGGTTGGGTTGGATTTTCGACCAACTTCACATTATGCACCGACAAAATTGGTATATAAAGTGCTTTTGTTGAACCAGTACAGATTTTTGAAATCTTCTTGCCATTTGACAATTTACACAGCGCTGTTTGCCCTTTCTCTTCTCGTAAAAAATATTTCTAAACAGCTGAGTTACTTTTAATTGTAAAATCCACAAACGCCATGCTTATTTAAGTTTTAATTTTAAGAGTAAACCTTGTAAGAAACCCGCGTTTTTTTTTCAGTTTAAAAAAGTTTATTTTGTAGAATTACAGAACAAAATAACTGAAAATAGAATTACTTTGGGTAATATTATAATAAATAAAAATTATTATATTGATGCGCATAAATTGTTGTTATTTTTATATATTTTTTAATTCCCCCCTTTGTTTTGCTCGATCGTATTGGGAATCCCGGAATTGATATTTGACGATCCTGGGATTTCGTGATTATAAAAAAGGCCGGGATCCCAGGATTTTGGGATCCCGGGATTGCAAACCCTATTGTTGACTTTATTTTTTTTTTTTTTTAGGAGTTTAATCATTATTTAATATTTTTTTCAAATGAAAAAAAAACAAACTTTGTTGACTTTACAATAAGAATGCAAAAAGAATATATTTTTGTTTACTTTGTATATTTCGCACTTTATGTTTATGATATTTATGTTAGTATATCTTTACCACCAATCTGTGATTGTAACTTGTAAATACTTTGTAGTTGTAAAATAAACATGTAAAAAAAAAAAAAAATGTAGATACTTGCAGAAGGTCATAAGATCTTTTCATCGAGAACTGGTTAAAAAGATTTTAAATAAAAAAATGTTTAAGATGTTTTAATTTGTAATCATACGGTTGCAACATTTTAAAGTCATCTTTTTATAATAAAATGATAAATTTACTTGTCACAGCGTGACATATACTTTATTTAGAATCTGCTGTGAATTAAATTTTTAATGGAATTTCGGGCCATAATAATTCAAGTATCACATGCTTTAATAAATATATTTGTAAGTATACTGCATTTGGTTGTAATTTTAAACATTCATTGTGATATTCATTACATTTTAGTTCACAAAGTTATAAAAAGATTCTTAATTCAAGTCTATGTAACTATGATTTATTGTTAGTGGATTGAACTTTTTTGTCAATAATAAAAATAATTTTTATTGTAACATGATAACCATATTGTTTATTAGTTGTGACCATTTTTTATATATGTTGTTACTATGTCGTATAAGTATCTATGTAATAAATTATTAAGTTGTGCTTATGTTTGTTTTTATTTTATTAAAGTTAAAACGGATGCAAGCACTAAAGAAGACAATAACGTTTCAAATTGAAGCAGAAATTTATAACGAATCATGTTGACGATTGGATATGGATCCCAGAAAAGCACCATTGTCAAATGGTTATGACTCAAATCTTTGTATTATAATTTCTATTTGTCGGGTTAATATATTTTGAAATTTAAGCCTGTTTTTCAAATTTATTCATAAATGATTAAAATTGTCAAAAATTATGTGTCTAATACATTTTATTGTCCTTAAACTAATGAAAAATTCGCCATTTTGAAACCAGAAAATTACAGTCGATTATGCTAAAAACAACTTTAAATAATTAAGAAGACGGGGAAAAGGAAAATATAGGGACATAAAAAAGAAAAAAAAAAGGAAAATATAGAAACATAAAATAGGATTGCCCGATGAAAATCCGTAAAAACTTTCATGCGCGACCCAGTTAGTTAACAAAGACGAAATGTAAAAATGGCTAATCGTTGTTCTGCCAGTTCTTGTTCTGCACTGGCTAGCCGCTATTTTGACATCGCTGGCTAGCCACGGCTGGTCCAAGAAAAATCTTTAGAGCAAAACGGAGCTTCTCCAGCGTCGGCAGCCGAAGCCAGTACAATGCGGCAGCCTACACAGGACCAGTACAGGATCATTATATCCTTGCTGTCATGGTAACTACTTTTTTTTTTTTTTTTTTTTTTAAACATGTTTATTTTACAACTACAAAGTATTTACAATTGATCAATCATCAATTGGCGAATAAAAATATACAAATATAAATATCGTAAACATGAAGTCCTAAATAAATAAGGGATAAATCTAAAATATTGTTACATTCAACTTTGAGACTTGATAAAAATAAATACAAAGTACACAATAGAATAACGTGAACGTAAAAATTATCCAAGAAATAAACCTTCTATATTCTTTCAATCAGAATAAAATATATATATATATAAAAGTATGATAAAAACAAGATTTGTATAAGATTGAAGAAAATAATTAATTGTTTGTAGTTATAAGAAGCTCGCAGAAGACTCAGTCTTGTCATCGAGTACCTTTTAGACGTGTAATACACATAAAAATCAGTTGCATACGTGGCAAATATGTATGTGATACATATATGCCTAAAAATTATTAATGTTACTATCTCCTTTTAGTATTATTTTTGTTGATTCCTTTGAAAAGTTACATTTTTTGTTTTATTAGGGTTGTTTTATATTATTTTAAATTTTTAAATTTTAAATTGGAGTTTAAAAAAACTCTTTGTAGTTGTTTCACTTGATTATTGTAGATTTTAACTTTGTTTTTAGGGACTGTTCGTTGTTTAAATTTATTAGCGAATCGTTTCTTATTTTGTTAAATAAATAGGGACCACGATGTTTTATTGAAAACTTTGAGAGTTTAGTTTTTTCAACGGGTTTCTTAAAGTTTCCCGTTGCTCTTGTATTGTACTTGTTTACGTTGTTTTCAAAAAAGTGTGCTTTAAAATGTTCTGGAACCAGACTTAGTTTATATTTAAACATGAAAAGTATATTTTGATAAATATTAATTTGAAAAATGTTTAAAGCGTTCATTTGCTCCAGTAGGGGTTGAGCATGAGTAAGTTTGTTTTTGTTGAACACTAGTCTTGAAGCGTGCTTTTGACGCAGATAAAGCGGTTTTAATTTAGTTATGTGGGTACTGCCCCATGCTATATTGGCATACATAAGATAGCTATGTATAAATGAAAAATAAACGAGTATAAGACTTTTTTGTGTCAAGAAAGATCTTGCTTTATAAAGTAGACCTATGTTCTTTGATATTTTTGTATTTATATAGTTGATGTGGGGCTTCCAAGAGATGTGTTCATCAATTAGAACACCTAAAAACTTTGTATTTTGAGCTCTTTCGATGGTTATATTTTCTATAATAATTGTTGGTAGGTTAAGGGGAAGCTTTTTAATTTGTTGAGTAGAGTGGAATAGAATATATTTAGTTTTATCTATATTGAGTGATAATTTGTTTGATTTAAACCATACATTAATTTTTTTTAATTCATTATTTGTTTTTTTAAACAAGTCTTCAATAGACTTTGATGAGTAAAATAAGTTTGTATCATCGGCAAAAATTATAGTTTTGAAAATATTAGAGGCATTTGGGAGATCGTTTATGTAAATAAGAAACAAAAGAGGAGCAAGAATGGACCCTTGGGGTACACCACATTTTGTTTTCAGTAAATTCGAGTTGCTTTTTTTATCTATAATAACACACTGGTGTCTGTCATTAAGGTAGTTTTTAAACCAAGTTAAAGCTTTATTTTTAACGCCATAATTTTCCATTTTTGTCAGTAAAATCTCATGGTTGACGGTGTCAAGCGCCTTTGACAAATCAATAAAAATTCCTAACGTGAATTTTTTTTGTTTAAAGGATTTACTAATCCTATTTGAGAGATCAAGGATTGCATGCTCTGTTGCGTGTCGCTTTTGGAAACCGTATTGACCTTTATTGATAATTTTATTAGTTTTTAAATATTAATTTAATTTATTGTAGATAATTCGCTCAAGAAGTTTTGCGAATACCGAAAGGATTGAAATAGGTCTATAATTGTTTAAAGAGTTGGCTTCTCCTAATTTATAGATTGGTATAATTTTTGAGATTTTAAGCAAATCAGGTACAATACCCGTTTTAACTGATGAGTTAAATATTTGGTAAATAGGATTACGTATTTCCTCAAAAATATCTATCACTACTTTGCAAGAGATATCATCGATTCCTGGGGACTTGATTTTAAGTGATTTCTTAGCAATCTCAAGTTCGTCTTGGTTTAGTTCATTGAAATTTAAGGAGCAGTGTGTGCCTGTTAAGTAATTTTTAAATGAATTGTTTGGGCATTGAATTTTTGATGCAGGATCAACACCAATATTGGCAAAGTAGCTGTTGAATTCATTAGAAATATCACGCTTATTGTTTGATTCCTTTTGATCAATTATTACTCTAGAAGGCATTTTATTAGAATTAGTTATACCTTTACCAATTATTTCCTTCATAATGTCCCATGTCTTTTTTAAGTCTCCATTAAATTTTTGCATTTGGTTGGAGTAATATAATATTTTATGTTTTTTTTTAATTTTTTCAAATAAGTTTTTGTATTGCTTGTAGAGAAATAAGTTCGCTTCGCTTCTATTTTTTAAATATTTTATGTAAAGTTTTTGTTTTTGTTTTGAGGATTTTCTTATTTCTTTTGTTATCCAAGGACAGTTTAAATATTTCGCTTTTATTTCTTTTTCTTGAATTAGAAAACTCTTATTATATTCTAGCATAAATAAATTAATAAATGTAATGTACGCAGAGTTTGTGTTTCCTGAGTTACATTCTCGGTAGACTTTTTGCCAATTTGTTACCGATAGCAAGTCCTTAAATTTTTGAGTAGATGTTTCATCGATAATTCTTTTATAAAACAAGATTTTTGAATTATCAATTTTTCTGGAATCTAGTGATAAAGAAAAGTAGATTGGAAAATGATCTGAGATGTCTGTTTTTATTATTCCTGTTTTTAAAGAAACATCTTGTATTGAGTTTGTTAATATATTATCAATGGCAGTAATAGATTTGGAAGTTACCCTGGTAGGTTTGTTGATAATCGGGAAGATATTGAGCTGAAACATGTCGTCAAAAAAATTTTTAGTAACCGCATGTTCGTTGTACTTTAAGATATTTATGTTTATATCTCCAATTATGAACAATTTTTTCTGTTCTCTCTTTTTTGTTATTAAATATTTCATACAGTTTGAGAATTTACAGGTATCACCATCGGGTGGTCTGTAGCACGTAGAAACTAGAAAGTTTTTTGACGCGTTTGTAACTTCCATTGTGAGGACCTTAATATTTCCATCAGAGTTTGAGAGATCATTTCTTAACTTAGTGTTTAAATCATTTTGTATATAAATCACAATTCCTCCTCCTCTTTTGTAAATAGATCTTTTTTTAGAAAATATTTTATAGTTTGGAAGAATTTGGAGGTCAGAGTTTTTTTCTGCTGTTTCGTTGGAGCACCAAGTCTCTGTAAGGCAGATCATACTGAAAGTATGTTTGCATTCAAGGCCCAGCAGGCACAATGACGTTGAAATAACGTTGAAACAACGTCGTAAACCGACCAAATGCCACGTTGAAACAACGTTGAAATTTGGTTGAATTGGAAATAAAATCCGACGTCGAAAACAACGACGTTGAAACAACGTCGATGATTACGTCGTTTCAACGTTGATCTAACGTCTTATCGACTACATATCAACCATATTTCAACTTTGAATAGGTGATATATTTGATTGATACGTAGTTAATAAGACGTTAGAACAACGTTGAAACAACGTAAATTCAACGTTGATTTTTGTTTTCTCAACTTTAACTGCAATAAATTAAAAAACAATACAATAAAAAAGCAACGATTTGCGCGAAGAATATTATATTTCACGCAAATTAATCAGATACAACTAAATTGCTTCAACGGACTTTATATACAATGCAAATAAAGTAAAATGTTTGAAAAAAAAAAGTTTTATTTATCAGTAATATATTTATCAATTTATCAATAACAACTATTATCAATAGTTCCAGAACAACTAGGAAAAAGTATGAATGCTATACATCGGGTGAATAGCCTTTTACGCGCCGACCACCACCATTTGATCTGTCGAGTGCATATTTTAATAAAGTCATTATTTATTTTCTTATTTCGGCAACTTTAGCAGTCACTTTAATTGACAAAACGTTCTCTATAAAAAAAGGTATTGCCTGAGTAATTTGCATCAAATACATCAAAAAGTTAAAAATAAAATAGCATTAAAAAGACGAACTGTGATTTTTAAAAAATATATAATTTTACACTTAACTTACAAGTAAATACCTAATTTTTGTTCCTTTAAACTTCTCTTTACCTTTACCGCCACCCATATTAAATTTTGATTACAAACCATTGGTCAACAACCTGCATTATAAATTGTCATAGTTACATTAAAAATTGATAAACATGTATTTTACAAAATACAAATAATTCTCAATGAAAAATTGCACAAACCGCAAAGGTTTCTTACCAAACCGTAATGCAAGTAAGAAAAAGAATTGATACAGGGGAAGAGTTTGGTCCAAGAAGACCACCTTCTAAACGCAAGAAAACACCAAGAGCGGACAGTATAATCAGAAATAT